AAAATCAGAATGTCATCAAGATACACAACCACAAACCTGTTAAGTTGGTGGCGGAGTACCTTGTCCATGAGGGACTGAAATGTGGCTGGTGCGTTCGTAAGGCCAAAGGGCATAACGATGAATTCATACAGCCTGTCGCGTGTCTTGAACGCAGTTTTGTGCTTGTCGCTCGGATCAACTTCAATCTGGTGGTAGCCAGACTTGAGGTCGATCTTGGAGAAGACTTTGCATCCACCGGCCGCATCCAGCAGATCATGTATATGAGGCAAAGGGTAGGCATTCTTCCTTGTGATTCGGTTCAGACCACGATAATCAATGCACATCCGGAAGTTGCCTCCTTTCTTCGGCACAAACAAAACAGGTGCGCCGAACTCAGACTCGCTAGGCCTTATCCATCCACGATCAATCATGTCATCAATTTGTCTCCGCAACTCCTCCAACTCGCCTTGTCCCATACGGTAGACGCAGCCCTTCGGAGGAACACTCCCTTCTATTATCTCGATTTTGTGCTTGACTGGACGCTCGGAAACTCCGCGAGGTTCAACCAACACTTCAGGAAATCGATCTAATAGATGGCGAATGTTCGCTGGGATTTCTGGTGGAGGATCATCCTCATCAGGAGAGAAAATCAGATTGGGAATTTACAACAATCACAACTGGTTTCGACATATTTGGTTCCGAACTAGATTGATCATTTACAACAGAAGTAGGTGGGACAGAAGTAGTAGTAGTAGAGGTAGAGTTACCTTCAGAGGTAGAAAATGCAGCAAAAGTAGAAGGCACGTGGAAAGGCTTTACAAGAGCTATATGTACAAATTCAGCTTCCTTGCGCCTGCGCACTGACCTGCAGAATTTGTTAGCACTGAGAAGAGTCACAGGGGACTCGCGCGTCTCGTCTAGTAAGACGGTACGCTCGTTCCCCTTGGCATCAAGTACCACGAACTGGTTGTCTGCCCACGTGGTCCTTAGGCAATGAGCCTTTAGCCAGCCCAAGCCAATGACCGCGTCGAAAGGACACTTGTCCAGGACATAGAAATTCAGCTCATATGTGACAGTGCGATCTTTGTCAAAGGTGATGCGCACACCTTTGACAGCATGAGTAGAAGTGTCAGCCTCTTGGTTGCCCACCTGAGTCCGGCAAGGGTTCTGCAGTTCCACTTGCTTCGTACCCAGGCCCGCCTTACGAATCCCGTTCGGAGAGAAGAAATTAGTGGTCGAACCACTGTCAATCAGCACACGGATGTATCGACGGTTAATGAGTAGTTTAAAGAAAATCAGCTCCACGCTCCCTTAAACACGGCGTTGCTGCTTGAGCTGCAGCCAATGCTTCATGTGGGCGTGGAGGTCGACCTCTTTAGACTCCTCCCAAGGCTCAGTGTACAATGCTTGGACTGCGTCAGCCTTGGATTCAGCATTAGTTTGGGCTTCAAGAGAACGCTGCTGATCAGATCCAGGGTCCTAGGAAGGGCCTGCAATTGACTGCCCAACTTCCCTTGCTGTAGAGAGTGTTGATGACTCCTCTACGCCCCTTGCCTGTTTCCCTGAAGACGATAGCAATCCTGCACACCATGCCCAGGCTTTGAACAATGCAAGCATACGCGCAGTTTGGATCTTCTTTCCCATTCTTTTTGGTTGATGCGGAGGGCTTCCCAAGGTTTGGTGGAAGCGTCCTCCGGTTTCTCAGGGATCTTAGCATTCTTGGGAAGGTGTATAATTGTTCCCTTACCCGAACCACGGTTAGGCCCCTTATTCGAAGCAGTCTTTCTGAATGCATTAAGTTTTTCGTCATCATTTCGGTCACACTCAATGGNATAATTGTTCCCTTACCCGAACCACGGTTAGGCCCCTTATTCGAAGCAGTCTTTCTGAATGCATTAAGTTTTTCGTCATCATTTCGGTCACACTCAATGGCTGATGTGGAACAGCCCGTATCGGAGTCCGGCTCTAGATCGTCATCCAGAGACAGATCATCCGCATAGGACTGATCCTCAGCCTCCCGATGGTCATGCAGTGCAAGCTGGTTGCTGCTTCCCAACCGCTTGCGCTGTGGTTTCCCACCTGCAGCGGGCGCCTTCTTGCGCCTGGCGAGGTCCTTGGCCTCTAGGTTGACTAGATCCTTCATGAGCTCTCGCCAGGTAGCATGCTCTTTGAGTGCTAGCAGGGAGAGGTATTCCTTAGGGGCTACTCCCATGACTACATCCATGCAAGATACGTCAGTCATTCCCAGATCCGGAGTAGTGAATAGACCAGTCAAGTGCTGTTCCAAAGCCTGCATGGATGACCTCCATGTTTGGCCCTTGAGGGCCTCAAGCTTCAGTCTAGCCTTGAGCGCAGCATGTTTATCCTGGTACCGGTCAAGGAGAAGATCCTCAAGGGTGCGAACAGGGGTGACCTTCAGCCAWTCARTCAGGTCTATGCGTTCATAGCCTGCTGCGACAGCTTGGAGCTCAATGTGGTTTCGCACGGCGGGCTCGGTATAAGTCCCCCTGATCATACTTCGGTCCTCTTGCGGTGTCCGCATGACCTCGAAGTATGACCTCATGGAACTAATCCAAAAGGTGATGTCTGCCTTCCCGTCGTACGTGGACGGCAGCGTGGCCGCCCACTTGTCCACCATGGGACCACTGTACTGAACGCCAGTAAGGACTGTGGCGTTTTGGGCTGAAATCCCTTCATTTGGGACCGCGACCAGCGCAGAACTGTCGGCGCTGCCGCTCGAGGAGCTGGCACCGGATCCTGCGCTTGCCGTGGTTCCACTTGATCTAACTATGAGGGCTGTGTTTGATTGAGAGACCGGGACTACAGCAGACCGAGGGTTAGGAGGGCGGGGGCCTGTTCAAGGCTAACTACCTTAGCCTGCAGCTCTTGGTTCCGCTGCTCAAGTGCTGTCATACGGGACTCGAGATCTCCAAGTTCCGCAGTCGGACCAAGGCTGCGACGGCAGCAGCTAGCCTCTCCTGGAACCGGTCAGCATTGGCTTTCGGGACCTGTAGGAGGGCCTCTTGAGCAACTATACTCTCAGCTCTAGCTGCTGCCTCCGCCTCCCTTTCCCTCTGCATGGCATCATCATACAACTTTTGAAAGAACGGTTTCTGGCTCTCGTCTGCTGCATCCAGCATGGCCTGCCATTGGTCAGATGTGATGCCCGCCATGCTGGAGGAAGGGGTGTCAGTAGAACTCTCAAGAGGGGTCCGCTCTCGCCTGATGTTTGGACGAACACTCCTCTTGCCCCTTCTCACACTCTCAAACAACACACCTTCTCTCTCCCTTTCCTCTCTTTTCGCTGTCTGCGCACGCGTCTCGATACTGGACATAGATGGTTCAGATAAACAGAAAACCACTCAGAGAAGAAGGTAGAACTCCTGGCCGGAGCGGCAAATCATTTGGAATCAGAGTGTGGCACGCAGCAGAAGAATAAAAAAAAAAAAAAAAAAAAAACCAGCAGAGAGGTCTGATTTATAGAACGGGCCCGATCAGATCAGCTGGAGATCCCCTCTTGTCTAACCTGACAGAGGACATGTCATCACAATAAACCAGACGAAGAAGACTAACTGCAACAATGGAGATTTCGAGGGGTGCAGATGGTCGCCGAATCAGACGCGGGGCAGTCTGTGCTAACATGCGGTAAGGCCAGTCAAGATCCCCTTGAAAGGAATGCCCTTGCTGTCCGTATGTCCCCCAATTCTAGCACAGCAAAGAAACGCACCGGCAGCAACAGATCTGGGCCCAAAAGGTCCTGTCCCGTTGGGCCTGGTCCCACTGGGTCCCGAGGGGTCCCAAATAGGCCATGGACCAGGACCAACGTGATAGGGGTGCCAAGTCGGTCCCAAACTGCCTCTACCGTACTGAAAAGGAAAAGACAACTTTCAGCAAGAACTCACTTCTACAGCCGTTCAGAAATGAAAAGACAATGCACCGTAGAAAGATATGTCATTTAGAGTAGATACATCATCCATCCATCCATCAGGTGAGAAAGCAATCCACAAGCTCACACACACAACCAAGACCGCAGAGAGGAGGAAGAGAACCCAGCACACCCCCAACAGGCCATGAAGCACCAAGYAACCTCCCACRGGCTTACCCAGGTCACACGGCACTTACCTGTGAGGCCCGGCCTCCAAAGATGGATAACGAGTCACTCCCCTCTCATATAAGTCCTCCTGACCCCTAGCTACCACTACACGAAGTGTCCTAGCATGACTAAGAGGGCCTTCCTACA